GATCACCTCTTTTTCAGGTGGCGAATTTTGCCTGCAACAGGCGCTTAGCGACAACCTTGCTAAAGTACCTCTCACCAATCAATACAAATGAGCACTCAGCCTTGCAAGATACATAATATGACATAATATTGTAGGTAGTTTTGAGGTAAATCCAAACGTTCTGACTGGTTCTTTCTTGCTCAGGATCTGCCATACAGTAAAAAGCCCTGTATTTTTTTTTTTTTTTTCAAAAGCCAGCAAATTCAAAATTTGCAACTTGCTCACTTGCTCAAGCCGCACTGGGGAATATTGGCCCTTGGTCATTTCTTGTATGGACCTTACTGTGCTCAATCCATACTGCCATGACCTCCTACCAATGTTCCCCAAAATGGCCCTTGTAATTAGTTAGTAACAGGTTGGTACTCACCTTGAAACATAAAAATAAATTCACTATTTACTGTTAGTTCAATTGTTAGAAGCATCTCGAGGGCAGGTGCACCTATCAGCCTCAGGGACATCCCTCATCACTGCCTCAGCATGTAAGCCACAGCCTTAACCAGTAATAAAAAGAACAGATTACTCTATACCACCAATTACTCTACAATGAAGAAAAGTCATAACCTAAACATGAAGATTAGGTAAGATTTTGAAACACTGAATTTTTATGGCTTCACTGGTTTGTGGAAAACCCAATAAACAAGTTACTTACTGGGCTACGAGAAGTTTGAAAGACTTTATAGTCATTTACTTGCAAATAATTATAATTACACCAAATTTGAACATGACATCGCTTCCAAACGATCAACAGCACCACAGTAAGGTATACCCTTAGCTCTCAGTATTAAAGATGATTTCCAGTCCGTACTGAGCACTCCTGAGAGTTTATTTGTGTTTTTTTGTTTTGTTTCATGTAAGACCACAAAATGTAAACATTTTGCAACTACTTACATGAAGTAAATTTGAAAGTTTCAAAACAACCACCATTATGGATGCAAAGCTAGAAGCTTTGTGCTTCATTCTATCTCATATCACTTGATGAAACAACTTCACAGCTGTAAAAATCAATGAAGCTGTTGGAAAAAGAATTTGAAAGGCCTCAAAGATAAGGTATGTGGTTCATAACGAATAACATCAGATAACATCAGATAACATCAATTAACATTCGCATTCCATTGAGTGAGACTTACAATGAGGGGGACATGGGGGGGTTCTGAACACTGCAACACCACAAAAAAAATTAACAAACACCGCATCACAGCAAGAAAAGTCTATGAAACACAGTCACTGCAACACATATTTTTAGCATCATGATTCATTCATCTACACTTAAAATCATACTATTATACCTCAACAATTTTCCACAAAATAAACTCATCACAATGCTTTTCATTGCACAAATGTCGATACCGCTGATGCCTGTAAATCAGTTTTCTTGCTCTTGTGAAGAAACCTTGCATGAAGCTAGGAAGCCGACGAAGAAAAAAGAGAGGAGCCTGGAGCGATGGCCTTTACCCCAGATATGATCCCCATCTTCTTTTACTTCGCTCACTTTTCTTGGTGTATAAACCCACTGACTGAAGCCAGGAGCCATAATCGGGGACTCCTGCTGAAGCCCTACTATCTTGACTGAA